AGTCCGAGTGTACGTGCCTGAACTGACCAGCAGCGCCCACCCGCGCGATGGCGCAGCACGGCCCGACGTGCGGCCGCGCGGTGGACGTTTGGGGCGTTCATGCGCTCAACTGTCCCAGGGGAGGCGGCCCGACGCGCCGCCACAATGCCATTCGAGACGCCGTGGCGCTCTGGCTGCGCGGGGTGGGCCACTATGCCCTGCTGGAGCAGGTCATCCCAGAGTGGTGCGCGGAGGAGCAAGGCGCGGCCACATTGGACGTGGTCTACCATCGAGGCATCCATGGTCGAGTTTGCCTCGACATCAGCTTGGTGGACGAGGTGGCAGTGGCCCAGACGGGGCGGCCGCGCCAGGCAGCCCTGCAGCGCAGAGAGAAAGTGAAGCACCGTAGGTACCCATTTTCGGGCCTGGTGCCCTTTGTCCTAGATGTCAACGGCCGCTGGGGCGCAGAGGCGGAGACGTGGCTGCGCCGTGCCGTAGGGGAATTGGCTGAGGCCGAACGGCCCGCGGCTCGTGCAGCCCTGCGATCGGCAGTAGCCAACGCCCTGCAGGGCCAAATTGCGGAGCAGGTCGCCCTGGCGACGGAGGGCGCAGCGAGACTGGATGCAGGGGCCGCTGTGGCCCCGCCCCACTTGCATGTGAGTGCTGACCCTCCTCTCCCCTCTCCCTTTCCCGCAGCCCTGAGTGGTCATAAAAAATTAGCCACATCTGCAGTGTGCAAGGTTTCGCTCAGTCTCCTGGTCGCGCACACAGCGCGCTACTGTAGTGGCATGTTTGGTCTGCACGCCATGGTGTGCTGCCTCCTTGCTTTGCGCATGTTGTGGTCTCGGCATGCCGCATCTTTGATGCTCGTTATCTCTGGCATGAGGTGGTCCCGCAGCCCTTCTGGGATGAGCCTTCATGCAACCAATAGCACCTGTCCAAGGCCGCTGGCTAAAGAGGCGTCCAGAGGCGTTGAAGATCGGGGCCTCCCCGCGGGTCCTTGGGCCGTCGGCGGCCCGCCGCCCGCTTTGTCGCCCGCCCGCGACGTGGTTTCCTCGCCCCCCTCCCCCCTCTCCCGCCCGTCCAGGGTCCCGAACGGGGGTCAGGCCGTTTTCCGCCAGCATAATGAACGGGTCCCACGCACCTGGAACCGCTGGCTTCAGCCCATCGTCTTCCTGTGTCACCGTTGTCCCGCCCTGGCAGTTGGCCGCCCCATTTTGGTTCGGTGTACAGCCTCTCCCCCTCCCCTCTCCCCCCCGTCAGCTGTTTGGCTCGTGAGTAACTGCCTCGCACATTCTCTCGAGCTGCACCTCTCGTGCCATCCACCCGACCAAGTGATGGCGCCCAAGTTCTCGAAGCCTGTGCCGATGCCGTGGCCCGCAAAGACGCGCGCCGCGGGGGAGGCACCAACCTCCAAAGCAAGGCCGACGCAGCGCCCTGTCCAGCAGGTAAGCTTGTCGGAGAGCGAAGGCGAGGAGTACGACATGGTGTCCGAGGCGGCGACCTTTCGGACGGCACCGACGGTGCACGCGGGATCAGCTACCCCCGCTGAGGACGCCGATGGAGGTGGCGGTACGGGGGCCGCCCCCAGTGCCGCCGCTTCCGATGGCGCCTCGGCGATGCCTGCATCGGCTGTGGTGCCAGTGACGTCAGCCGCCCTGGCGGCGGCAGCCACGTATGCCGACTTCACCGCAGATCAGCGGCGCGGGCTGGACGCGCTCACCCTCGCGCTCCACAACCTTCAGCTGAGGGGGCATGCTGTGGGTGGCCGTGGCGGCCGTGGGGCGCGCAGCGAGGCAGACGGCGAGCGCGCCGTGGACGACGGGGCCGCCAGCGAGGCCCCGAGTGCTGCGACCACGGGAGCCCTCAGCGGCCGTGGGGGCAAGCGCCGCCGCCGACGCAGCAACAAAGCCGTCTACGGCCAGGTCCCCCAGTCGAGCGACGGCACGCCAGCCGCGCTCGAAGACGTAGAGATGATGACGGAGGAGAACTACGCTGAGGCGGGCTACGTCCACTGCATGGGCGCATATTGGGTACCGCCGCACCGCCTGGGCTGGTGTCGGAGCTGCACGGCGCTGGGCGACTGGAAGATTATGGCGGTGGAGTACGTGGACGAGCTCAGCTGTGCGGAGATGCGTCGCTATGCGATGGCCAAGGAGGACAACGAGAAATACCCCGAACTGAGGAGGGGCAAAGAGGGGCAGCTCAAGCTGTACATGTGCTCGAACTGCGTGGCGACGTCGGAGGGCATCTCCGAGCACGAGGCCGTGACGCGCGCTGCGCGCGCGAACAAGGGCCAGGCTCCATCGACCATGCCGCCAAGCGGGTAGCGAAGTTCCGTGCGAGCTTTGACTACATCAAGGAGGGCATGGACGTCCTGGTGGGGTTCGCGCTCTCAGAGGAGGGCTTGCTTGCCCTGCGGAGGTCAACGGAAGGCGTGGGGGTGGGCATCGACCCCGAGAGTACAGGCGCCCCCCCAGCCACGGAAGAAGTGGCGAGGGAGGTGGGTCGCCCAATGGCGAGGGAGGCGGGGGTGGTGCCAGGGCCGCCCCGTGCGCCACCCCCGCCCCTCGAGGAAGAACCTCCCAGTGATGAGGAGAACGACCCCCAGCCCGACGTGGACGCGGAGGACCAGGGGCCCCAGCTGACCGAGGCCCAGACCGTGAAGGAGGTAACGGACATCGAGCCCTTGCTGCGGCTCGGCCTATCCAAGAAGTCGCTGAAGCGCATGGCGCGGGCCTATGGCGTCCTCAAATTCGAGACCATGCGCGCCCACATGCTGGGCGGCCTGGGGGCCATCCTGGAGAAGAAGGAGGACATGGTGAGGGGCGCCGAGGCGCAGGACGGAGTCCAGAAGTGGCTCGACGCGCTGGACGAGGAGGCGGAGGAGGATGTGGGAAGGCTGAAGAGGGGTGTCCTGGAAGCCTCGGGGATTGCAGACGCCCACCTGGGACACAAACGTGCCTGGAAGGAGGAGTGCCAGGGTAACACCGCGGCGCAGGAGGCCTACCGCCGCATGGGCGACTACACGGACCAGTTTTACCGTGACAAGGGCTTCACGTTCAACATGTACTACAAGTGCGCGGCCAACAAGACCTGGGATAATCCCAGGGGGTGCTGTTCGGTGATCCGATCGGATCGCTGGTCACAGCTGCTCTCATGCGCCCAGGAGGCAGCGGGAGAGACGGGCCAGCGCTGGTACTGCCACTGCGGGGCGCGCTACTCGACCTCCTACGGAGTCTGCATCGAGTTCATAGAGGAGGAGGCGAACCCGCCACGCGCGTACTACATGCACGCGGAGCATCCCGAGGAGGACATCCGCGACCTGAAGGCCCTGCTGCGCTACGACAAGCTCAAGAAGGAGGGGATCACAGTGCTCAACGCGGTGGACCTTCTGCAGCACCTGCCCAAGGTAGAGCCGATGGCGGTTGGCACCGTCTTCAAGCGCTATGCTCCACACCAGGCACAATGGGAGGGCCACTATGTGCTGATGGAGGGGCTCACCTGGGAGAGCTTGCCCACGTTCGAGTGGGCCGACCTCTACGCGCAGGTCGCCTGGGGACTGAACGACCCCGAATGGGCGGGGTACAGCAAGAAGACGCGGAACAAAGCCAAGAGGGAGCGCCTGGAGATGGCGCACAGGGAATTGGCGCACTACGAGCGCCGCCACAACCTGAAAGTGGGCAGCCTCTCGGGCGGCGGGGGTGGCGCAGGGGTCGCCCCGCGCGCCGCCCCCGTTCGCAGCGCCAGTGCCCCACCAGCGAGCGGGGCCCGCGGCAGCGAGGGCCCGCCACCACCGCCAGCGGGAGTCCCGCCAGAGGCCGCGGCCATCATGGGCCCCCCGCCGCCGCCGCCGACGGCGCCCCCTGATGCGCCGCCGCCGCCGACCCACCCGCCACCGCAGACGGACGTGCTCCCGCAGCAGGTCCCAAGCGCTGCAGCCCTGAACGTGGCCCTCGGTGAAGACCTCGAGCGCCAGATCTTTGGGCCCGCAGGGCAGGCGGGGGGCAGTGGCGACCTCGGCGGGGAGGGGCGGGCGCTGCCGTCGCAGGTCTTCGCCGCCATCGCGCAGGGAACAGGCCAGCAGGCCTGAGGGGCAATGCGCAGCAGGTCCCAGGGCCTTGACAGGCCGCGTGGGTACATGCCAAATTGTCTACTTGCTGCTTTCTGTAGTGCGGCGGGCCCATAGCGGCGCCCCTACTCGCGTGGCGTCACCTGTAGCCTGCGCCTAGGCTAGGCAAGTGGCTACCTGTGCACTCTGCCACCTTGGCTCGCCAGCTGGCTTGCCATCTCGGCTTCCTCACGTTCACTTGCGCTCGTTGGCCTCGCTGGCGGTGCTGGGGCAGCCCCGTGTACTGCAGCGTCGCCGTCGGGCGCCTGGCCATTTTGGCTTGCCATCCTGGCCTCATCTCGCGCCTTCTTGCGCTAGTAGGCTTGGGTGGCGGTACTGGGGTCGCCCCGCGCGCCGCCATGCCGCCGCCCGCGCCCTACTTTTTGCTGTAGGGACCAGCGGCCCTCGGCCAGGCGCAAGTTGCTGCGTGCGCGTCAGACCCGCCCTTGGCTTGCCGCCCAGGCCTAGCCTCGCGTCTTCCCGCGCTAGTCGGCCTGGGTGGCGGTGCTGGGGTCGCCCCGTGTGCTGCTGTGCCGTTGCTGGCGCTTCACCCTGGGCTGTTGGCCCAACTGCCCACGGTGCGAGCGCCTGACGTTGCAAGCATGTCAGACCCGCCCTTTCACCCAGAAGAGGTGCGCGCTACATACTGGTAATGAGGCAGCCACAAGGACGCTCTTCCCTAGGTGGTTGAGCCGTGGTGATGTGGTGCACGAGACCGCCAGTAGCAGTAGTAGTAGTAGTAGTAGTCGTCGTCGTCGTCGTCGTCGTCGTCGTCGTCGTCGTCGTCGTCGTCGTCGTCGTCGTCGTCGTCGTCGTCGTCGTCGTCGTCGTCGTCGTCGTGGGAGGAGGAGGAGGAGGAGGGGAAGCAGGAGGCGGAGGAGGAGGAACAGCATCATAACGATCAACGCAGGTGGAGCTGCGCGAGCTCGCGACCGAGCAGTCGCCCAGCGCCTGGACCACAGCCACGGTGAAGAAGATTCAGGGCGCCGCTCCCGCGGACGAGGAGAGCAAGTGCGCCGCGCCCTCCCCCCCTCGGAGCTTGACGGCCTCTCGCCGATCGACGTGCGGGGATGATTAAGCCAGACTGATCGAGGTAAATCCAGGAACGCCGAGGCACATCCAGATGCATCGGGGGGAATCCCTAGATCCCCAGGGAACTCTGGACCAAACCGTGGATGCGGCAGCGCGAGCCGCGGGGCCGCAGACGTCGCGTGGAGCTCGTAGCGACCTCCCCCGGAACCCGCGGAGGGCGGACACCCGCCCAGACGGAGCAGGCACGTGCAGGCGTACGGCCCAGCGCGGCTGCGGCCTCGTCGAGATGGGTGCCGCGCGTGTCCCACGAATGCGAGGGGCGTCCGACGTCTCCGCAGAGCCAGCGAGGGACAGCATTCGGGAGGGGGGACAGGCTCAGGGTCTGCGACTCGCTGTTCGAGGTTTTATCCCAGCGTTCTCGGAGGTCTTCTGAGGTTCGGATGTTTTCGGAGGTTTTCCAGGAGGGTTCACGGAGATTTCCGAGTAGGTTTATTTGCGTTTTCGGGGATTTTCTGAGGTTTTCGAGCTTCGGGATGCCTTCCAGCGGCTGCGCCTCGCCGAGAGCGTGCCGTGGATGCCCGAAACGGCCGCCAGAGAGCCGAGTTCTGACCTGGAGGCCAAGGGAGAGAGCAACAGCAACGCGGCATCAACAGCATCATGCGGTTCTACATCGTCCCAGAGGAAGCAGCCGCCAGCCGGACATGGAACTCGACGTACATTCAGCTGTCGGGATAGTGCAAGGGATCGGGACACGTCAGAGACAGGGCAAAAGAGCTCATGAAAACAGGAGAAGCACAGGCAGTAATCGAGCGTGGCGCTCGTGCCGTTGTGCTCCCGCCCCTTCCGAGCGTGGCGCCGTGCCGCGGCCCGGCAGCCGCCCCGTGGCGGCCCTGCCTCCTCGGACGCGCGGCCGGCGAGGCGAGGGGCGGCCTCCCCGGGGGCGGGCGGGCCCGCCGCGCAGGTCGGGCAACTTCTACTTCGTTTCGTGCGCCAAGGCCGCCGCGGGCGAGCCCAACGTCATCGTCGAGAAGGACGGCAGGGCTCGCTTCGGCTCCTGTGGACCTCGATGGCTTCCGATTCCGATTCGATTCGGTTCGGGATTCCGGCTTGGGCGCCGATTTCTCATTGGAGGCATACCAGCCTGCCGATGTCTGCCGATTCGACTTTTCCCGACCTGGCTGCCGATTTCCACCGATCCGATTCATTTTGATCGCTGATCTGACTTATCGATTCGATTCTGGGTCTCCCGGACGGGGTCCGAGTATCGGCGGCGAGCGACGGGGGGGAAGTGAGAGGGGGCGGGCGCAGAGGGCTCGGAAGCCCCCCAGGACTTCGGAGAAATTTTCTAGGCCTTCGTCGAAGACGCAGACGACTTCCCAGAAGGCCAGAAGCCTTCTGAGAAGCGCCGCCGCCTTCTGAGAAGGCCTTCTCCTTCTCACTTCCCCCCCTGGCTCGCCGCCGAGCGTAGGCGGTGTCGGAGGATCGCGCCGCATCGACGACGCATCAGCAATGTGGTTCGATGTGGATCCCGCCTTGCTTCACGCCGAAGTCGCCGATGCACCGCCGACGTCGCCGACGCATCGTCGATGCATCGTCCATGCATCGCCGATTTATCGTCGATGCGGCGCGGTCCACCGACCCCATCTATTCGGACCCCATCTGGGGGTCTCCTGCTCTGGAGGAGGGAGACTGTCTTTGTGTTATTCAAGACGCTTCGCGTTCACCGCCCGCCCATTCCAGTTCTCGCAGGACGAGGCGAAGACGGCTCCATGACGGGATAAACATAGACAGGAATTTATCCTTTTCCCGTGCTTTGTTGTTTTTGTCCCGCGTTCTCTCTTCCTATGCTATCGCCTACTATGCTCAGGCATGCCCCGTGGCTGTTCGACAGGAGGTTTGTCGTACTTGCTACTGTTAGTGGTGGTGGTGCTGCGGCTGGTGTTGCTGCTGGTGTTGCTGTTGTCGCTCCTGCTGGTGGTACGGTGCAGTGCGGGTGCCGCTGCTGCTGTTGCTGGCGATGGTGCTGATGGTGCCGGTGTTAGTGCTGCTGCTGCTTGTGGTGCGCTTGTGCAGTCGACTGATCCGATGGTAGGGAAGGCAATCAGTTCGCTCATTCCGCTGGCCCATATTGCACCACTGTTGCTACATGGTTGTGTGCCCATGGCGGGCGAGAAGGAGGGTAGGGGACGCGATATGGCATGGCGAGGAGGAGGAGGTCTCTCGACGGCTTCTTGCAACACTGTTGGGGCCAAACTGGGTCGCGGCTCATCGAGAAGGACTACCTCCAGAGGAGGGAGTTTGTCTTTCTGATTACTTCTAGTGACGGCTGTTTCCTGGGGCGGGGGGTGATTGGGGCCCTGGGGTAAGGGTAACGCTTGGGCGAGGTGGGGCACGTCGGGGCGGGGTTGCGCTGCGATCGCCACAGTGCGCGCGCGAGCACCAGCATGTGGGGGTTTCAGGTCCCCCCCCCCACGTACGATCTCTACCCTGGCTCGGGGGGGGGGTGGGGCAGGGTTTGGACTTGGTAACCGGTAACGACCGTTACGCGCCGGAGGATAAAACAATCTCGGAGGAGGGTTCTCAACGGACAAGGTGCCCACCGATCATCGAGGAAGGGAAAGCGGTAGGAACATATAATTTCCGCGTTCCGTGCGAATTTCTAGGATCTGCGCTGGGCCCTCGCCGAATCGCCGATGTGTGTTCCAGGGTGTCGGGTGCCCGCGTCCCCCCCCCCAGATGGTGTGGGTCCCAGGGTTCCCACGTCCCCCCCCCCCGAGATGGTATGCGGGGGACCGCGGCGACGACGACGGCAACGAAGACGGCGACGACGACAGCGGCGACGACGAGGAAGACGACGACGACGATGACGACGACGGTGACGACGGCGGCGACGGCGGCGACGACGACTGCGAAGACGACGCTGACGACGACGGCGGCGACGACGACAGTGCAGACGACGACGATGACGGCGAATCCTTTGCTGACGACTACGCCAGAGACACGCACGCAAGCGCGCACGCGCACGCAAGCACGCACACACACGCACACACACAACCACCACTGAGCACACCATACCACACCCAAAGGGGGGGACACGCACACACGTGCGCAAACCTCCACACCACAGTAGACCACCACACCACGCCACACACAGGGGGGGCGGGGGGACACGCACGTACGTACGCGCGCACGCGCGCAAGCCACCACACCACCACACCACGCCACACCCACAGGGGGGGGCAGGGGCACATGCATGTACGCACGCACGCAAGTGCGCAAGCCACCACACCGCACCACAGTACACCACATGGGGGGGGGCACCCATCATTGGAGGGGGGCTGGACATCATGCCATCTGGTGGGAGGGGGGGGGAATGCAGACCGGGGACCATGTACAGGCGGCGTCGCCGATGCATTGCCGATGCATCGGCGATGCATGTGCGATGCATCGGCGATGCGGCGCAATCCTCCGACCCACTTACTCTAACTCCGTTTGGGAGAGGAGCGCCCAAAACCCTCAGAAGCGAAGACATCCACGTCCCAGCGGGTGCAGACGTCGTCGTCGTCGTCGTCGACCAGAGTCGAGGGAAGAAACACGATGATCATGACCAAGATGTCATAGACCCTTGTCGACGCCGAGCTTGGTCAATGTCCATGCCGGCCGTCGCCGATCTGCGAGGATGACTCGCGAATGGACGATGACCAATATGGACGATGACCAAGATCGACACTGACGCTTCCGCGTTTGGTCTTGGTTATGGCCATCGTTTCCTTTATCTCCAGATACGATGGATTGAGTTCTGGATCGTGTTGTGGTCTCAAATGGAGGAACATTACGTGCAGCGGCAGCGGCAACGACAGGATGAACGAATCGACTGGCTGGCGCTTCCGCTGAGCCCCGCTCCCCAGCATGTAGTTTCTCATCATTGTTTGTGCTGCGGCGCTGCCGCCTGGCCCCGCGTATGGCCGTCCCGCGGGAAAACAGGCGCAGTGTCCAGTCTCCAGTGCCCATCAGAGACGTCGTCGTCGTCGTCCTCGTCGTCGTCCTCGTCGTCGTCGTCCTCGTCTTCGTCGTCGTCGTCGTCGTCGTCGTAGGCCAGAGGCCCGCGCTGCCTCGGGCGGGCCCCGCAGGACAAGCTGAGGCCGCCCTCGGCGGGCATCAGCCTGGCCTCCATGACGATCGAGCAGGCCAGGCGCGCGGCGCCGCCGCGGCGCCGCCGCGGCGCCCGCCTCCGCCCTCGGGGACCAACCCTAGGGGGGTGGGGTGCATCGACCCCCAAAGCCGCACAGTGATCGCCGATGTGGGACCCGATGGCCCACCCCGCCCAGGGCCGCGCGGACTCGCTGTCGAGGGCCTGTCGCCGATCTATCGATGATGTGCCGCCGATGCCAGGTCGGAGTCCCCCCCCTGAGCCCGTCCCACCTACCCATCGGTCGCTGAAAGCAGGTATTTTTGGAATCCCAGGTTCCAATCTACTTTAAGCGCCTTCCTACTTCAAATATCGAGTGTCCTCTTTAAGGGGGCGGGCGGACACCCAATCTACTTTCAACGCCTTCCTACTTCATGCTTCTGCCTACTTCTTCCGACCGATGGGTATCGTTGCCTCTCACATGAGTCGAGGAGGGGGGGCAGGTCTGTCGAGAAAGTGGGTGTCGAGGCGCCAGCGGAGGACGAGGCCTCGACCCTCCTCCCTCGATCCCCATCCCCCCCCCTTGGCCGGGGCGGCAATGCCCGACGTCTCGATCCCCGCGGCCGTTTTTTTTTTTTTTTTTGTTGTTGGTTGTTGTTGTTGTTGTTGTTGTTGTTGTTGTTGTTGTGGTTGTTGTTGTTGTGGTTGTGGTTGTTGTGGTTGTTGTTGTTGTTGTTGTTGTTGTTGTTGTTGTTGTTGTTGTTGTTGTTGTTGTTGTTGTTGTTGTTGTGGTTGTGGTTGTTGTTGTTATTGTTGTTGTTGTTGTTGTTGTTGTTGTTGTTGTTGTTGTTGTTGTTGTTGTTGTTGTTGTTGTTGTGTGTGTGTGTGTGTGGGTTCACATTAGGTCACCCCCAGGGGCGCGAAGATGATCGCGATTCGCGCGTCGCGGTCTGGGCCAGAGCGGCTGCCCTTCTCCAAGGGGGGGGGGGCGGCGCGATGGTGCGAGGGCGCGAAGACACTCGCGCGCCGCGCATCGCGGGGTGCGGTGCGCTAAGGTAGCATGATTGTGTATGCCCGTAGGCACGTATCGCAGGAGCGTTTGCTTAGCGTGTCGCGCCCGCTCCGCCTCGGCGCGACGCGCCGACCACATCGCGCCCCCTCAGCTGACCAGCCTCTCGAACTTATCCCTACTCCTAAGACTGACCAGCGGAGAGGGTATCCTTCGGATTGGCATCGAGATGGGTCGATGCCAATCACAGGGATAGGAATCTGGTCCAGGCCAGCAACCAGCGCCAGCGTCCCGAGCTTTTCCCAGCCTGCTGCCCCGCGAGGCAGAGCGACACGCCATCTGCTTGCAGGGCATGGCGTGTCGCTGGGCTCGCCGGTGCCACATGCTGAGCAAGCTGTTCAGACTTATCCCCATATCTCAAGATTGGTTTCTTGTTATTACTGGGACGCCTCCGCCTTACGCTCACCCGCCTCTTGTTCTCTTACTCATACCTTTCCATACTAAGATTCCTCTCGCTTCGCGGGGTGCACGTCCGGAGCACGTACAGTCCAGCCGTTGTGGGGCTTTTTGGAAGCCTCCTGGGGGGTTCTTGGAAGCTTCTTGGAGGCTTCCTGTGGCGTTTTGGGGGTCTCCTGGGGGCCTCTTGGCGGCCTCTTGGGGGCGTCTTGGGCCGTCTTGGGCCGTCTTGGGGCGCTTTGGCGCCGTTTGGCCCTTCGGGGGCCTTCTTGGGAGCCTCTCGCGGCCGCCTTCGGGCCCTCTTGGAATCCTCATGGGCCGTCTTGGGGGCCTCTTGGACCGTCTTGGGGGCCTCTTTGGGCTGACTTGGGGCTCCCTGGGGTTGTCTTGGGGCCACCTTGGGTGCTTCTTGGGTTGTCTTGGGACCATTTTGGAGGCTGCTTGGGCCGTCATGGGCTTCTGAAGAGCCGACAACACCGAGAACGCTGAAATCTTTGAAAAACAACTCATGTTTTTGGCATCTGGAGGCCCTCTGGTGGGCTTTCTTCGGGCTCTCTTGGGCCATCTTGGGGGCGTTTTGGGCCCTCTTGGGGCCATCTTGGGCCGTCTTGCGGCCGTCTTGTCCCGTCTTGAGACCATCTTGAGCCGTCTTCACGCCGTCTTGGACCCTCAAGAGGCCCAAGGAGCCGAAATCATTGATTTTCCACAGGTTGTTATAGGTTTTGAGGCCCAGAAGGGGGCCACCACTTTTGGTACGCCCGGAGGTCTGGCGAGGGGCGCACGGGAGCGGCGCCGAGGGCGCCGCCCAATGAGTGGGTCGTCGTCGTTGCCGTCGCCGTCGCCGTCGCCGTCGCCGTCGCCGTCGCCGTCGCCGTCGCCGTCGCCGTCGTCGTCGTCGTCGTCGTCGTCGTCGTCGTCGCGTCGGCGTCGGCGTCGGCGTCGGCGTCGCGTCGGCGTCGGCGTCGGCGTCGGCGTCGGCGTCGCCGTCGGCGTCGGCGTCGGCATCGTCGGCATCGTCGGCATCGTCGGCGTCGTCGTCGTGGGCGCTGGCGGTCAAACCTTTCGCGGGCGTCTGAACCTGATGCTCGTGCTCTTTTGGGGCCGTCGCCGAGGTTCGCGCCGAGGGTCGAGCCTCGAGGGTCGAGGTTCGTGGCCTTCTCTCCGTCGAGGGCTTCCCCGTCACCACGGCTGGACGCAGCTCGAAAAACTGACGACGACGACGCAGAGAACGACGGTTTCCCGCTGCCCGAGCCCTGTCGCGTTGCGCAAAGTCGCCACCAGCAGCGGAGCGCTGAGCCTGCCCGACGGCACACAGGGCAAACATGTTTGTCCCATTCAGGCGCAGAGACTGCGAGGTCGCTGATGCCGCGTGGATCTCCTGAAAAACAGATGTTGGCTTGAATGGCATGCCGTCTCCTGTAGTCCTCTGCGGTGGCGTTTCCTGTCGTCTTCTGCGGTGGTCTGCCGCGCCGTCCTGCAATCGTCGAGGCATCCATATGGAAACGTCCTGGAGTGGTGAGTTGGGAGCTCCTTGGGTCCCTTTCAGGGACTTCTGCCGGCTTTTGGAAGGCTTCTCGGGCGCATTTGAGAACCCCTGAAAGCCTCTTGGGTTTTTTTTGGGGGCGTCTTGGGCCGTTTTGGGGCGCTATTTCGGAATCTTTTGGGGGGGTCATGGAGGCTTCTTCGGGGCTTCCCGGGTCTTTCGGGGGGCCTCTTGGGGGCGTCTTGGGCCGTCTGCGGACGCTTGGAGCCGTTTGGCCCCTTCGGGGGACTTCTTGGGGGCCGCTCGCGGCCGCCTTGGGGCCCTCTCGGGGTCGTCTTGGGCCATCTTGGGGTGCTCTTGGGCCGTCTTGGAGGCCTCTTGGATCGTCTTGGGGGCCTCTTTGGGCCGTCTTGGGGCCCCCTTGGGTGCTGCTTGGGCTGTCTTGGGGCCATTTTGGAGGCTGCTAGGGCCGTCGTGGGCCTCTGAGAGCCGGGAAAGGCGAGAGCGCGAAATTCTTTGAAAAAACGTAAAGGAAATCGATGTTTCTGGCCTCTGGCGGCGTTCTGGTGGGCGCTCTGAGGGCCCTCTTGGGCAATCTTGGGGGCTTTGTGGGCCCTATTGGGGCCATTTTGGGCCGTCTTGGGGCCGTCTTGTCCCGTCTTGACACCATCTTGAACCGTCTTCACGCCCTCTTGGATCCCCAAAAGGCTCAAGGTGCCCAAATCATAGGTTTTCCATAGGTTTTTCTAGATTTTGAGGCCCAGAAGGGGCCCTCCTCCTGAGGGTCGATGGAAGTGGCGCGACTCCAGGGGGGGGTAGGGGGGGACACATAATAATGTAACATGATACAATATGTAGGAATTATGAAGCATTGGACACATTGGATCCATTGCATTACAGCATCCGCGGACCTGCCTCCGGCAACACGTCACTTCCGGACGTGGATTCTATTGGCTTACGCCACATCCGCCGACCCCTAGATAAACTAGTGCGTCTCCAGGACTGCATTTCACGAGGCTTGTCCGAATCATGACACGGCGCTCGACATCGTTCCTGTTGCTTCGTTGCTGTTATCGTATCTCTTGGTGCTCTTTTGAGGCCTTTTGGTGGCAAATTCGCCTGTCTGCAGGCCATATCCGGCTGCCTCGAGGCATCTTGGGCCAAGTTTTGGGGCCTCTTGGGGGCTTCCTGGGGGCTTCTTGGAGGCCTTTGAGGTTCTCTTGGGGGTCCCTCAGGGCCTCTTGGGTTGTTCTTGGGGCAGGCTGGGGGCGTCTTCGGGCCGAAGGCTTAGGTGCCCTGTGGGCTTCGTCTTGGAGCCGTCTGGGGGCCCTCTTCGGTTGTCTTGGGGGCTACGGGGGCTGTTGTTGGACCTTCTTCGACCTTTCTTGGTGGCCCCTTGACCGTGTGGGGGCGATATTGAAGGTTTCTCTGCCCGTCTGGGACGTTGTGAAAACCGAATAGGCGAGCGTGCGAAAAATGTGTGTTTCTCGAAGGGAATGGGGCCATTTTCTGTTTCCTGGGACTCCTGGGGCGCATCTTGGAGCCTTTGGGGGCGTCTTGGCAGCTTCGGAGGCTGCCTGGAGGCCATCGTGGGCGTCCAGGGCGATATTTCGGCGAATCGTGGCCCCCTGGGACCATCAGGGGAGCGTTTTGGTGCCTTCTTGGCAAGTCTTGGAGATCTCCGCTCCCCCGTGACGCGTTCGGTCCGGGTTGGGCTGGGCGAGGACGGGAGCGTCCAATTGCCGGTTTGGGGTCCCTGGGGGGGATTATGGGGGGGATAATCTCACACGCCTAGAGATCCACAAGGGGTCGGCGGATTATGATGATGATGCTGCTGATGATGATGATATGTAATGGTGATGGCGATGCTGATGTTGCTGTTGCGGAGTACGATGATGGTCATGCTGATGATAATGCTGCTGATGATGCTCCTGATGAGGCTGATGACACTGATGATGATGATGATGCTGATGATGATGATGATGATGATGCTGATGCTGATGCTGATGATGATGATGATGATGATGCTGCTGCTGATGATGATGATGATGATGATGCTGCTTATGCTGGTAATTGTGCTGATGGCGACTGTGCTGCTGCTTATGACAAGGAGGTTGATGCTGTTGTGAGTGATGATTAGCATCCCGTTGGCCATGAGGATGTTGATGATACTGATGACGATGATGGTGATGATGCTCATGGTGATGGCGGTGATGATGATAATGGTAATGATGATGCTGATGCTGATGATGTTGATGATGCTAATGCTGATGCTGATTCGGATGATGATGCTGATGATGATGCTGACGATGATTCTGACGATGATGATGGTGTCGATGCTGATGATGCTGATGCTCTTGACGATGCTGCTGATGATGCTGCTGATGATGATGCTGATGATGCCGAGGCTACTGGCGACGATGCTGATGATGATGATGATGATGGTGATGATGATGTTGATGCTGATGGTGATACTGCTCATCATGCTGATGCTGACGCTGACGCTGCGGCTGCCGATGATGATGATGATGCTGATGCTGATGCTGACGCTGCTGCTGGTGCTGATGATGATGATGATGATGATGATCATGATGATGCTGATGCTGATGATGATGATGATGATGATGATGATGATGATGATGATGATGATGATGATGCCGCGTGTGAGATACTCCAGGCCGTTTCGTCTGAGACATCTAGGCAACTCCAGGCTCATAGATGTCGCGCACACGGTTGTCCAGCCAGTTCCGTCTGAGACGTTCTCACCACTCCAGGTTCATACATGCCGCGTGCGAAATGCTCCACGCAATCGTCTGAGACATCTTGGCAACTCCAGGCTCATAGCTGCCACGCATGAGATCTTCCAGCCAGTTTCGTCTGAGGCGTCTGAGGCATCCTCACGATTCTAGGCTCAGATGCCGCGTGCGAGATGCTCCAGGCCGTTTCGTCTGAGACATCTTGGCAATTCCAGGTTCGTAGATGTCGTGCGCAAGGTTGTCCAGCCAGTTTCGTCTGAGACATCCGCACAACTCTAGGCTCAGAGATGCCGCGTGCGAGATGCCCCGGGCCGTTTCGTCTGAGACATCTAGGCAAAGATGTCGCGCACAAGGTTGTCCAGCCAGTTTCGTCTGAGGCATCCTCACGACTCTGGGCTCAGAGGTGCCGCGTGCGGGATTCTCCGGGCCGTTTCGTCTGAGACATTTAGGCAATTCCAGGCTCATAGATGTCGCGCTCAAAGGTTGTTCAGCCAGTTTCGCTTGAGACATCCTCACAACTCTACGTAGGCTCACGGCGTCGGCGGCGGCGGCGGCGGTGACGGTGGCGGCGGCGGCGCTTGCTTCGGCGGCGGCATGCGCATTGGGCTCAAAGATGCCATGCGCCAGGTAGTCGGACCCATTTCTCCTGAGACATCCTCGCAATTCTGGGCTCAGATCTGCCGTGGGCTGAGGTGGTGGAGCCAGTCTGGCCAGAGCCTGAAACGTCCTCGCAACTCTGGGCTCAGATACGCTCTGAACTGAGGTGATCCAGCCAGTCTCGCCTGACACATCATCGCAACTCTGGGCTCGGAGATGCCGCTCACGAGGCGGCTAGTTTCGCCTGAGGCATCCTTTCAACTCTGGGCTCAGACATGTCCAGTCCTGAACTTGTCCAGCCAGTTTCGCTTGAGACATCTTCGCGCTGGGCTCAGAGATGCCGCCGACGAGGTGGTGTGGACAGTTTCGCCTGAGACACCCTCGAAATTGTGGCTGCGGAGTTGCCGCGTACGAGGGTGTCCAGCCAGTCTCGCTTGAGACATTCTGGCAGCTCTGGGATCAAGTGCCGTGACCCAAAGATGAGCAGACACAGAATTCGTGCGGAGTGGAGGAAAGGTAGCGAATGATGATGTCGCTGGATCGTCGGCCATGGTGCTGTCGCCAGAGCGGTTGGCCACAGCCTTGATTGGGAAGTGTGCTATCGCACGAGCGCTGGATTATGCTTTGGCCTGGGCGCCAGTTGCATCCCTGATTTTGAATGGTGCTCTCGCCAGTGCGCTGGCCACATGCCTGATAGGGAACGGTGCTCTCGCTCGAGCGCTGGCTACATCTACATGCTAGGGTACGCGTGGTCTCCATCTTGGAGGGGTTGTGCTGGTTGTCCGGGGGCTTGTCCGTAGTTTTTTGTTATACTTTTCCAAACAACATAGTAGAACTCGCATGCGTTTTCATAAGCGTCCTATTCCACACGATGAGCGGCTGTAGAACTCGAATTTGGGCCAACATTCCCGAACCAGTCATTGGGAGAAGGTTCTTCGGGGGCCTGTAATGAAGTTGCCAGGCCACGTGCACGATGGTAGTGATAAGGGCCTCATCTGCCCAGACGGGGTCACGTGAGAGAAGTCTATCATCCTCCTAATCGTTCCCCTTTTCTTCTTGTCCTTCCATGGCCAGTCGTTGCATCGTGGAGTAGCGTTCCCATCAGGTGGGAATTTGTCAGGCAGAGGGACCCTCCTTTCTCGAAGGTCTCGTTTGACGCTTCGCACAGTCTCGCCAGCCCATCCACAAACAATGTCTGGGCGACGTGATGGCTGCCGGGAAGTAGAGAAACATATAGTGAACCCGAAGACCCCGCAAAGGGTGAATTTAGAGGATGGAACGGTGGAGAGCCTTCACCGCCATCCTGGATCTCTCATGTTGTGACGAGTTCGGAACGACCAGTGTGTCTCGGTCAGCCAGGAGGGGCTCACAATAAAGCAGCACAGTAGGCACGACAAATCGTACACACATGCATGGGATACCCAATCATTATTCATGGGCCGTGTAGTTGAAGGGGACCGCCCATCTCTTCTCGTGTCTCATTGTTCTCATCGTCCTCTCATGGCGGTTTGTCTGCTCTCTGTTTATATGTGTCTCTTTCTATATTTCTCTTCCGTAACCTTTTCGGCTCCATATCATCATTCATGAACAGCCATGGGCGTTCAGATTCTTCATCTTATCTTGTTATACGGCGTGCCCACCGGTCCGTGGGCCTTCCATATCCATGTTATTGACGCTTCGCGTGCCCCCAACAGCCCATCCACAAACGATGCTTAGGCGCGCATTTGTGATCATGAATATGAGTAGCATGCGGCGTATCGGGCCGATCCCGCCACCGTCCCTGCCTTGTCGGCCAGAGGCTTTTTGTATGTAGGTTGGTGTCTCTGGTTGGCCTCTCAGGGGCTTCTGGCAGGCACTGTTGAGGTCTCTTGGGGGCCGTTTGCGGGCCTCTCGGGCCGCGCCCCCGTCATGCGTGCGGGCTTTGAGGGGCGGGCGTGGATCCTTGGTGCCCGGGGTGCGAGCCAGAAGTTGCATGGTTCAAATGGTACCTCTTGAGGCACACCTGCAGAAGAAGAAGAAGTGCGGGGAGGCAAAATGAGACGATGAGAAGGAGGGGGCGGACAGGAGGTTGGAGGATAATGAGGAGGAGGGGGAGGAGGAGGAGGAGGAGGAGGAGGAGGAGGAGGAGGAGGAGGAGGAGGAGGAGGAGGAGGAGGAGGAAGTGGGGCACCTTGGGGGTTTTAGGGGGTTCTAGGGGGACCTCCTGGGAGCTCCTGAGGGTCTTTTGGTTGCCTTCTGGTTGCCTCCGGATTTGCCGAACACTCAATGTAGAGTTTCTTATGCAAATCGGACACTCTGGAATCAGCAAATACCACCCGTGGATGCGATACCCAGAACACCTCCGCTCATCGAGACCTTGGGGGCCACTACCCACACGACTCCCAAAAGCTACGTCTTATCGCTGACTCCTATCCCCAAACTTCCGTCTCCTGCTCCCACTTGCGCCACCCTCTCCCTTTCCCCCCTCGCACCTCACACCTTCCCCGTCCACCCCAGCATGTGCAACCTTGTACAGACCGACGAGCACCAGCATGTGCAGACCTGTGCCGGCTCCCACCCCCCTCCCCGCCCTCCCCAGCATGTGCAGACCTACGCAGACTGACGGGCACCAGCATTTGCAGACCTGTGCTGACTCCCACCCCCTCCCCATCCACCCCAGCATGTGCAGACTTGTGCAGACCGACGAGCACCGTCATGTGCGGACCTGTGCCGACTCCCATCTCCCTCCCAGCCCTCCCAAGCACGTGCAGACATGTGCAGACTGACGGGCACCAGCATATGCAGACCTGTGCCGACTCCCACCCCCTCCCCGTCCACCCCAGCATGTGCAGACTTGTGCAGACCGACGAGCACCAGCATGTGCAGACCTGTACCTCCTCCACCAGATCACGACATACACATATGGCGTACACACCGCTTGGGGTCCACACGGCGGCCGACGACGATTACAAGTGCATTTTCTCCACAATCTTATTGCCATCCGTGCTTGTGCAAACATGTTTGTACGCTGTAAACGTGTACATTGTACAGTATTCTTGGTTCTATCCATTTTCGCTACATCGTCACATGAGCGGCCGGCCGGCGAGTACACAGGTCATAGTTGCATTCGACACGCATCTTGTTATTGTCCGTTGTAGTCTCACTATATGCTGAATTTGTTTCACTGGTATTTGCATTTGTTGGGCGCTTCGGCCCCACCCTGCAGCACCCTCGCGGTGCATGAAGCAGGCCGAGTCCGAATCGTGGTCTCTCTCCCGGCCCTCTCGTAGGCTCGTTTTCAGGCGGCCTTGGGCCGTGTCGGGTGCGTCTGGGGCCGTCTGGAGGCCCGCTGGGACAATGTGGGGGCCCTCTTGAAGGCCTTTTCGGCCGTCCTGGGGCGACCTCGGCGGCGTCATAGGGCGTTTTGGAGCGTCGGACAGGCCGGAAAACGAGTTTGCTGAAAATGTACGTTTTACGAGGGGGATAGGGCCATTTTTGCGTCTGGGGACCCTGCTGGGGCACATCTTCGGGGCACCTTGGGGGTCTTAGGGGGTTCTAGGGGAACCTCCTGGGAGCTCCTGAGGGCCATTTGGTTGCCTTTTGGATCGTGGTCCTCCTCTTGGCCCTCTCGCGAATGTCCAGGCCACTGCGTTGGATGCGTGGCCGCTGTCAGACGGCATCGGGTGCCTTAGGCTGCGTTGTCTGGTACAGCATGTGCGTGAGTCATGCGTCGTTTGCCATAGCCATTTTTACTCCAGCGGCCTCGGCCTCGAAGCCTCTTCCCCGTGCCCTCCAGTTCTGCGCGATGGCCAGTGCACCCACGTTCTCTCAACGTCGCGCCCCGGCCTCGCAGAGTGCCGCGCAGGGTCGCTCAGTCGCAGCGCAGGGCCGCCGTGGCCCGATCACCGGGGAGATTGTGGTGTTTGCTGAGCCCGTTCCAGTGCACTTCGATACCATCTCGTCGTTGTCAGTTGCATCTCTCGACTACACCCTGCTGGTGCGAGCTACCAAAACCCACGGCGTGTGGAAGACGAAGAACGGCGCGCACATTCGGGCCATCGAGGTGGAGGACGTCAGCCGCAAGGTGACCTTGAAGGAGTTCGGCGCGGCGCCGCGGGTGCTGAAGGGGTGCGCAGAAGGGGACCTGCTCATAGTTCAGAACTTTTGAGGTGCAGGAGTACGAGGGGGAACTCAACTTGATTCCCTCTGTGGGCAGTGTCATTGCGAAGCTGCTGCCCAACGTGATCGTCCCGAGTGCTGTGACGCCCTCGCAGCTGGACATTCAGCTGTCGACGGTGAAGGACATCCAGGGGGAGCCGAACGCGCTGCATTCTTTTGCGGGGACGATCCGCGTCGCCGGCGACCCCATCACTGAGAAGCGGGCCTCCCTGGACGTCATGGTGGACGTCCAGTCTGGCGACGGGCGCCCGCCACAGGGCATCCGGCTTCGCCTGTGGGACGAGATGGTCGGGACATTCCAGAGGTTCGGGTGCAAAAAAGGATCCAGCATTTTGGTTCTGGACGGGAAGTCATGGGGTGGTGGCATCCAGGCGTGGCCAGGAACGGCCCGCATTCGCGTGTTGCCCAGCGACGCTCCGCTCCCAAGCCCTGCCCCGCCCGCGACGCAGGCGCGCGCGGCGGCGCACAGCCCAAGCGGGCAGGGTGGCCCCCCTCGCCCAGGCGCGCCGCCTGCGACGGAGCCAGCAGCCGCCGGCGGGGCAAGTGGCGGCCTTGCAGCGCCCCAGCCTGCAGACTCAGCGCTGGGGGCTGACCCTGCGGCAGCGGCAATTGAGCGGCAGCTTGCGGCGGCGCAGCAACGGATGGCGTCGACTCGTGATCCCACGGAGCTGCAGGAGCTCGTTGTGCAGGTGGGCGGTCTGTTACAGGACTTTGCCATCGTTTCTGCAACGTTGCCTGGGTCATTTTCTTTCAGAACGCCCCAGACTTAGTTGTTCGTTGAGCGCTGTGACATTGCGCCCCTGGGGGCATATGTCGGGGGGGGCGCGTGCACTTTCGAGGGCACCGGGCCGAAACGATAAAATGTAGAGACGAAGGGCTTATGAGGGAGGGTGTGAGATTAGGCCGTCAGCTACCCAGTGGTCGTGGAAAGTCTGTATGCGATAAAGATTTCAGTGATTGCCCCCGCAGGACCTCGACAAGCTCAAGGAGCAGGGCGTGAAAGGCGCGGCGGGGCCGGGAGCGGCGCCGCCAGAGGGGGCAAAGGTGGGCGACGCGGCGGGGCTGGGAGCGGGCGCGACAGAGGAGGCAGCGCGGTCGACTCCCGCGGATCCAGCGGGCGAGGGCGGCCTGGCGGCGGAGCCCGATGACGGCTCAGGGAAGAAGCCCGATGACAATGAGGATGATGACGATGACGGCTCTCCGAACAAGGAGAGGAAAGTCGACGAGGGATCGACGGCATGAGCAAGTGAGGGTGAGCCGAGCAGCGCGTCGCTGCGTCCTCCAGCAGGAGGGCGTGCCGCACCTTAGAGGAGTAGAGGGGCGACGCCTTTCTATTGTTAACGGGCGATTGGCGGCTCTTTGCGAGTCTGGGCAGGGTTTTCATTTCGCGCCGCAGTGTGGTTGTACCGGACCTGCGGGATTGTGCAGCATTGCTGCAACCAGTTACGCTTTTATTCATAGTCTGTCTGACCACATGATATTGGGGTTTTGTCAATCATCGGAGAAACAACGCATGGGGGGGAACTCAGGGGGCAATCTGCGCCGAGGCCGAGACGGCTTGCATGTTTTGTACAAGAGGGGCGAACCCGAGCCCAACAGGCGGGTTCAAAGGTCACGTCGGTTGTGGCAGCATTTGGAATGATCCCTCGCCCGAAGCCTTCGTATGGGAAGTCGCGGTGCCGCGCAGCCTCCGCCTCAATATCCCTTCCTGTCGTCATGGGCCACGCGCGTGGTGCAGAAGGGACCACCTAGGCCACTGATCTAGGTCAAAGATGAGCACACGAGAGACCACGGCGCATGCAAAAGTCGAGTGGGCAGGGGGGATGGGAGACAAGGTGTGCGTGCAACAATTGTGATGATAATTGAGATAATGATGATGTTGGAGAGGCGATCCGAAAGCATTGGTAACAATCCTGGGGCCATTCCGAATGGGTAGCCTCCCTATGTTGCCACGGTAAGGAAAGAATGTGAGATACCTCATTTGTATAAATGATTTCCGTTGGTTTCGAGGAGGGAGGCGGGGGGGGAGGCCTGCCTGAGGCTGGTTCTCTGGAAACTGCAACTTCATCTCCTGGAACTCGCTTGCGGGTCTGTGCGGTTGCTCTTGGGCGCTGGTGGGGCCGCGTTGGATTGAATTGTCGCCATAGCCATGTAAGGCTCATTTGATAGCACGTGCAGTACAGGCGTTCCCAATGACTACCATGAGTGGCAGCGAGCAGACGCCCGATGGTGGTATGGGGTTTCGCATGCTTATTTGGAAGCCCGTGGTACCGCATGAGGGGCGGCCAGGTCGAAAAGCTGCGGCCAAGGTGTTGTGCAGCGCGATGCCCCAGGCATTTGTTTCGAAGGTATTGGGGCAATGCGATGGGCAAGTTCTTGCTGGGTTCATTCGCGCGCCCCGCGGCGCGTTGCCGCATGCCCTAGGGGGGGGGGGGGCGGGTGGGACATGAGCAAACATCGACGGTGGAGGGCCCGGAGTATACATGATTGAACAGTAAGTGGGGGGCAGGACTGACGCGCAGGAGCCTCGCGCGGGGCGGCGGACCTCCCACGACGTGGGTTGGGGCAGATTTTCAGCAGCGGCGGCCTCGCTTGGCGAGTGCAGGGAGTGCAGCGACGGAGCGGAGTGGATAGCGTCCTTTGAAGCGACCGGGTCGGCCCGACCCAGTAGCATGCCGAGCGCGGCGAACGTTGCTGACGTGATTGCGGAGCTTGCGGCGTTACGAGGCAACGCTGGCGCCGCTGAGTCCCGCCAAGAATTTGCGGACAACAGAGGCTGCGCCAATGAACGCCGCGACGCCACCCCCGCATGGATGTTCTGCTGCGGCGGAGCGGGTCTCAGGGGTTTGGAGCGCAGCTTTTGGAAAGCATCAGACGTGTATTGTGCGTCGCAGCAGGAGCAGTTGGTCTGAGCGCCAATTTGGTCATTCACTGGCCGGCGGTTCGTGGCATGCAGGTGCTATCGCATGCGCTGTCAGCCGCGAAGAAGCGCCGTCGCAGTAGCTGACGCGCCGCCGCATAGGTCGCGGCATTGTACATTTAGGAAGGAAAGGCGGGGGGTGAGAAACAGCATGCGGCGTGTGAGTTATCGTTCCACTCCTTGTGTCTCTGCCTCTGGTTCGCCGCCCGCGCTCGTGCCTCCCTCTCGCGCGCGCCCATCTGCGCGGCCGCGCCCCCGTCGCCCGCGGCGGCAGCGACGGCCCCGTCGCGGGCGCGCTGGCCCCCGCACTCTTCCCCATCACTGCGACCTCTCCCGCTCCATGCTGCAGCGAGCTACGCCTTCCCCGCTCCTGGACCGTTCGCAACGCCGCCCCCGCGTGTCGCCCGCGCGCCCCGCCACAGTCGCCCCTCGGCCACGTTTAGCGCCGAGGCTGAGACTGCTTGCATGTTTTGTACAAAAGGGGCGAACCCGAGCCCAACAAGCGGGTCAAAGGTCACGTCGGTTGTGGCAGCATTTGGAATGATCCCTCGCCCGAAGCGCCTTCGCATGAGGAGTCGCAGTGCCGTTCGGCCTCTGCCTCAGTGTCCCTTCCTGTTGCCATGGGCCACGTGTGTGGCGCACAGGGGGCCGCCTAGGCCACTGAGCTACTTCAAAGATGAGCACGGGAGAGACCGCGGCACATGGAAAACCAGTCCGCAGGAGGCGCCAGTGGAAGACCACCATGCCTGGCCAGGGCCATGCCCCGAGGTCCGTCTCTCCCAAAAAATCTGCAGAGGCCACTCTGGTGCAACGTTGGAGCGAATATTCTGTGGTGCTTCGTAAGTGGGGCGCTAGCAGGAGGAGGGCGGGGAGGAGGAGGTGGAGAAAGATGAGGAGGAGGAGGAGCAGCAGCAGCAGCAGGATGAGGGGAAGGAGCAGGAGGAGGTGGGAGGAGTTGGCGACGACAACGCGCAGCCGGTTGGCTGCCGCAGAGCCCAACTTCGGGTTGCGCCGTGGCCGGCGGGCGCCATGGCTGCCGGTGCAGGCAGCAATGGCGGAATCCACAAAGTGTCCCTTGCCCGGGGTTACGTGGCAACCCTTGCCCGGGGTTGCGTGGCATCCCCTTTCCAGCCGGGATCTACGTGCTGAAGGCTACCCAATGCGGGAATTCACAAGTAAGTACCGAGAGCGCGACGTTTCCGGGGGCCTTGTGCCCCGTGGCGGCCTGGCTGGGGGCATTGTGCCCGATGGTCAAATGGGGGCGGGCGAGCGAAACGGCAAGAGAGAGGCAGCGGATGTGCGTGCTGCAAGGGGGACATGGACAGGGGCCGAGACAAGCGGAGGCGAGTCCATGGTGGAGCGAAGCGAGGGGCATAGAACGATGGGGCGCTGGGAGTGGTGTTGCCGCGGGAGAAGGTGCAGCGCGGAGCGCGGATGTGCGGTGCGAAGAGGAGGGGCGCAGCCCGCGCGGAGTATCGATTCAGTCGTAGTGCATGGTCCTCATAGAAAGGGGAAGCGCTCGCAAATTTTGAAATTTGTCCATGGTCGTGCTGGTCCGGGTTGTAATCGTCGCGTTGTTGTTGGCTGCCGCCGCTGTGGTGCTACAGTTCTTCGCGATCGTGCCGCCCGCTGTGGGCTTGCTATTGTCTTCCACTGCGGTGGCGGTGCAGGCCGCAGTAGGTGTCGAGATGGCGCTGTTGGTCGCTGTGCTGGTCGGCGTGGTGGTGTTCGTAGTCTGCGCGGCTGTGTCCGTAGTTCTGGCATGGTTGCCACTCGCGGTCGTGGTGGCGCGGCTGTTGTTTGCAGGCGACATGGTGGCGCAGTCGTTCGCATTCGGTATGGCGGTCATGTCTGCGGTCGTGTCGAGCAGGTCTGGGTTGCTGCCATCTGCCGTTGTAGGGGATGCGTTGTTCGCTGCTTGTATAGTGTTGGTGTTGGCCGCACTTGTTCGTGCGTTTGTGTTCGCCTTGACGTAGCAGCTGTTCATCGTCAAACAGGTGGCGGTGCTCGCGGTAGCTGTCGTGGAAATGTTGATAGTCGCAGATGCTGTGGCGGATTGTATTTACCCGGAGGCTACAAATCCCCCGCCTGTGGCCCCGCGCGCGCGGGAGGGCGTCGCTATCGAAGGTTTTTCAAAACGGCTCACGCGCCGCAGCGGGGGCTGAATGTCTCGCTGGTGCGCGCTCGCGTGGGCGCGGGCGCAGTTGATTTACCCGCGGGCTACAATTCCCCGCCCTGTGTACGCGCGCGCATGGCTGCGGAGTCGCAGCGGAGCTCCTGGAGGATGCCCGGGGCAGTCGGGGCCGACTCGCGCGACGTGCGCTGTTGTTGCATCATCGTGAAATCGGTGTCGATGGGCGATGCTTGTGCGCAGCATGCGCGCGAGGGAATGGAATCTGAAGTTCGCAAGAAACGTCGTGTGGCCCGCGAGCCTTGGAACAGAGGCTGGAATGGATGCGCCGAGTATTGTGCCGAGTGGACCATGGTAGGGTGCCGCGGTCGCAGATTGTCAATTGTGAGTGCGTTTGCCCGTCTGCTGATCTGTGTTTCCGAGCGTCCTCCCGTCTGTTTGTATTGGAGGTCTTTCGTGTGTCCGTTTGTCCAGCTCTTCGACGGTGTTCATTTTCGTGCGGTTGTTGGGCACGGTGGTGATGCTGCTGCTGGTTTCTCCTGCGTGGATCAGAGCCCCGTGCTCGCAATTCTGCGCCTGTGCGCCATGTTGGGATCCCGCGCTGCGCGTGATGGCTTTCGCAAATGGAGAGGCGATGTCCACTGTGAAACATTGGAAGAGTGCGTTGCGTTGACGGAGAAGACGTTGCAAGGCGCCGCGTTGGAGTGTGGACTGGATGGTTGCGGCTCTTGGGAGAGATTGGCACGCGCGTGGCCGCTCTTTCCGCCGGCCGCGGCGGAAGCCTCGGAAACTGGGC